ATCCATTTTTAGTAGTGCAAAATTTCAGATTGTCACGTGGAATTTTGTAATAAAAACAAGAAGTGGAAGAGAGATGGGGGTCTAGCTCAAATGGCAGAGCGCGCGCTTCGCATGCGTGAAGTACGGGGATCGATACCCCGGTCCTCCAATTCAAATTTTTTATTTTTTGGACTATCCAATATCGACGAGTTAATTTCTATTATTAATATAGCAATCAAAACTGGTAAATTTTATTTTTTGTTGCTACAGCTGAAAACTGACGTTTTGCACGCAAATATAACATGTGTTTCTGTTGCTGTCCTTGATGCACCCACGGAGGAAGGCAATTGACTTTGTGGCGCGCAAGCACTCAATCTCGATGGTCACAGTGGCGCCGACCCTAACGCCCGCGAGATAATTGGTAGTCAGATCGGTGGAAACAATGTTTTTAGCGCCACAGGCAACCACAGCAGTGGTTATTTTTCCGACAGCATTGCAGAGGGTGAATACGCAGCCTCCGTGGATGGCGCCCCAGGTGTTGCAGTCTGCAGGGTCGACTGTGAGGCAGTATGTGACGACGGCACCGGTGATGCGGGTGTCTTTGGAGCCAGTGGGTTGGATGGAGACGAGTTGGAGGCGGCTGATGGGCGGTGTAGTAAGCTTGACGTTGGCTGAGAGGAGCTCTTTGTGCTGGGCATGTGCGCGTCGGGTGAGCTCGTCGACAGAAACAGGATAGTTGTATGATTCCAGAGCTGTGAACGACATGGCGAATATATAAAAAATTAACAGTTTAGATGGATTGGCGTGCGATGATTAAAAATAGAGAAAAGGGAGGTGGGACGTGTTGCAGCAGTATTTGTAAAAATAAACCCCAAAATATTTGTTTATCTGCGATTGACATGAATAAACCAATAAATACCTGGTTATTGCTTTATGGTTGATGGGTCTATTCTCTCTTGTGGGTTGGGAGAAGGCCAGAGGGGGAGGAGATATTAAATGTACCACGCATTGTTGCCTTAGAAATACTTTTTTCCTCCCCCATTCAAATAGTGGATTGTGGCCACATTAATATACATGTAGAGGCTGCATTTTTGTGTTGGGAAATTGTTCGGAATTTTTATTTTTAAACACGGATGAATGTTAACTTGCCTGTGTGCTGCAAATGCAAGCATGGGTGACTGCGTAGTGAGTAAAGGTGGTTGCGTTCAAAGTACTCTTGATTGTTGTAAATATATAAAAAACCTTCCTATTTTCATGGAGGGGGGAGTGGTGGATAGATGGAGGGAGGGGGAGAGAGGCAATATTGGTAAATACACTCTGCTGCCATGCATCTACATCTTTGCTGCTTTGAAATTGGCAAAGCCCAAAATATCCTTTGAGTGTTTTGTATGCGAAGCCCAAGCATACACGACACTGGGCCGTTCAGCATCAACAAACATTACTGTGACATGCAGTTTGGCCAAGTTTGCATTGCCCACTCGGCATACCACATGTACCTTTGTATTCGGCTCAATAGGAGCTAGCGCTTGGACGTTGAGCGAGAGGGAGACAGAAATGGGCATCCCCCCAGGGTTCCTGATGAGAGAGTGGGACATGAGGAGATAACTCGTGTGGTTGTCTGCCAGGGTGGCTACGAGGCCCTCATCGAGCGTGCCGGCGACATTGATGTGTTCTTGAGTAATGGCCATTTCTAGCGTTAGAATGCCTTGATCTAAATCCATGCTGTGAATGGATGTGCCGTCGTCGAAACCAAAATTATTGATTATGTTCATATTACTGGATATATAAATAGTATTTATAAAAGAAAAAGGAAAAATGAAGGGTGAAAAAAGTATTACATATTCCAAATTTAGTTGCCTTTAAATGTTTTCTATTCATTTTGATATATTTTTGAAAAACTTTGTATGACTCGCAACCGCATACACCCTATTCGCATCCACAGCATCAGCAAACCTGGCTGAGGCATACGGCATCTCCAACCCCTCCGACGCCAAACAAACGACATCCACCTTGGTCCCAGGCGCAATGACCTTGGGTGCCTGCACAGTCAACGAGGTGGTTACCGCAGGCCTATCCTCGTGAACGGCACTTATGAGCGTCGACGTCCAGTAATCTGCCACAGTGCTGACAAGGCCTTCGTCGATGCAGCCCGAGCTGGTGATTTCCGATGCGGTTATGGTGATTTGCACGGTTATTGTGCGCCCGAGCTTGCTCGCGTGTGTGACGGTAGTGGGAAGCTCGGCGGTGTAGTAGTAGTGGCTCTTTTTGGCACTCGCCAAAGCAATAACGTGCTGCTTAAACTCGTTGCACTGTGCGTCCATGGGGGGTTGATTTTGTCAGAGTATTTTATGGTCCCTGGTTATATTTTAAAAGATAATTATAAGTGCGATGCAAAGAATTGCTTTGCTGCTCATTAAAAATAAATTAAAGACAAGCAACAGCGCTGCAATATTAAGGGATTGACACAGCAAACCAGCACGCACACATGCACATATTGTACACTATCCTGTAAACCATCCTCCCTTGTTTCCTTTAAATCTTTGCACCGCCACCGCTGGCAGAAAGTCCCTCCTTGTAAATAAGCGTGTGCACGCCAGCTGCATAAACAATGTTTCTCCTCCTCGCATCCCTAAACGTAACCACGGCCTGCACCATCCTTCCTTCAAACAACACCAACCGACAGACAATCTCCACAACAACACCAGCCATCACAGGCTCCAGCGTATTAACTGTCAATGACGAAGTCACCATATTGCCATTACTCGTTGCCGCGCAAATCAACGGATCCGTTGCGTTCTCCACTACGGTGGAGAGCCATCCGCTGGCGAGGTATCCGCGGTATACTTCGTCGCTGGTTATTGCGTATTCATAGGTGATTGTGCGGGTTTGGGCGTTGGCGGTGGCTACGCGGAGATCGAGTTTGCTGCCGAAATGTGTGGTGCTGGTGTCTCTGGTGCGCAGTTTGTCGAGGAGCTCGTTGAAGATAAACCCAGACATGGCATTTAAGTGTAATAAAATATGCTTAGGTGATTTTGATAAAAAATATGAAGGCAGAATAAAGAAAAGCGAGCGACAAGCACCAATTTAACAATGATAAAGACGAAAGCCTCCATTTTTCAGTCAATTCGCATGCGTATGTTGGTTGCCCAAGGTGCGCCACTCACCACGTGGACAATGTCCTTGTATGCAAATGCAATGCTAAATGGGGATTTGATTGATTAATAAATCACCACCACATACTTCTTTAAGCATACTCGATCTGGCTCAGCAGCAGTGCAATCTTCTTCTCCGTAGCCGAGGCCCCGCCCATGACCTCCTCCAAATCGCCCGAGGCTTCCAAGACGTTCTGCGCCGCCATCGCCAGGTTCCTCACCAGTCCCTCCGACAGCCCCAGCTTCTCATTCACCTTGTGCGAGTCCGAGCCCTGCAACGAGTTCCACGCCAGCTGCGCAACCAACAGGCACTGCCTACCGACCAGCAGGTGAAAGGGCGGATACACCAAAGCATAAAATGCCAAAACATGCAGTGCAGACACATACGACCAATGCCAGTGCGCGTCCTCATCGGCCGAACCAGTAGAGATCCGCTCGAGGCACTCGTCTTGGCACTCGAGCCAGTGTCGGTATGCAGCAAACGATAGATCGCGTTGGTCGAGTGACTCGACAGAATCGATCATTTGAGTTTCGAGTTTCGCCTCGTGCGTGTGGCGCGACCGGCTGGCCAGCAAGGTGAGCAGAGCATGAGTCACCTCTGTCACCCAGGGGTCGGCGCAGGGCGGCTGTGCGTAATCGGTCGGCAGATTGTGCGGAATCGCATGTGCCGCGCTATCTGACTGGGGGGAGCGGTCCATTAGGGCGTCCATGCGGGCTCTGGGCGAGCCACACAGCTCGCACCTCTCGCAATGGCACGTGAAGAAATACACAGCCTCCAGCGTCTTTCTCCTCTCCGATCTTGGCTTGAGCCCATCGATATACGCCAAAGTGACTTCGTCGCCCTCGGCTATATCCCTTAGGGCGCGCACCACTTGGCGGCCGCCCGCAGAGTACACAAAGGAGGCATTGGGCAGGCACGCGTGGTTCAAAAGCAGGGACACGAGGGGGCTGCATAAGTGCCCGGTGCTCTGCAGCAGATTCTGGTCGCCGGAATCATCGAACGCCGCAAAGTTGTTGCAGCCAAAGCGACACAGCGCGTCCACCGGGTCCAGGGGAACCAAGGAGCCGGGTGCTTGGGAACGAGGTTGGCGATTTCGGCGTACTGCTTGAGCAAGTACTTTGGGTGCTCCGATCGGTGGCTTATCAGCCGGTCCCACGCCAACGCCTGCACCCGAAGCACTCTGGCACCTGCTGCTGCTGCTGCTTTATATTTTGCAGCACCCGGGCGACTCCTGCGGCCATGCGCAATACGGCCTGTACACAGGCTTGATCTTCGCCTCTGCCTTTTCCAAAGCCCCCTTGTTCTCGGCATTTTTCGGGTCGCACTCAAAATAATGCCGTGCATTCCAGTGGTCAGCCAAGCACCGCGTGGAACAATACAAGGCCGTGTGGCATTGGCTGCACCGTGGCCGGCGTTTAGGCGGCAGTGTTTTGAAGCAATGTGTACAGCGATCCTGCGGCTGAGTCTCTTGCTGCTGCTTGTTTTGTTGGTCTGACGGTGTGTCATCATCGTGGTCTTCGTTTTTGCGCACCGGGAGGCTAAATAGCGGGTGGATGGAGAGTATGGTGTCGCCGCGCTTGAAGGCTCGCGTGGCGATGGTTTTGTGGCCCTTGGTTGCGTCGGCAATGCTTTGGAGCCCGGCTTGCGCAATGAAATTGTCAAGAATATGCTGCTTCTGCTGTTCGTTGAAAGAGTTGTCGGCAGACATTGTGAATAATAAATATGTTGTAAGTAAATTCGTGGGGGAGGGAAAAGAAGGAAAAATAAAAAACATTCTTTGGCTCCACACAAATAAAAAAGGGGGGCTGATCTCCAATTCCCTCATCAAAAGCTCGGTCTCAAAATCAAGTAAGTGAATGCCAGTCAGTAGGCATACATGCTGAAGCCAAAAAGGAAACAAGAAAACATAAGGCACATTTTCTCTCTTTTTCTTTTACAATTCAATTGCCCCCTTTTCCCTAACACTTTTAATTCCCGCACGTATTTATCCTTTCTATCTCTACTTTTTCCACAACCACATCACGACGACGAGCATTTCCCTTCCCTTCTACATTATTAAAATGACTCAGATTCACGACAAGGCGGTGGGAGCAGCTCTCCTCGGAATTGGCTCGCTCGTATTCACATACTACTCCATCTGGACGCTCATTATCCCTTTGTCGACGAAGACCACCCGGCACGCGTGCTGTTCCCTCCGCAGTGGTACGCCATTGCGCTTCCCGTGTTCCTCCTCATTGTCGGCGTCACTGCCATCTTTGGCTTCTTGTCCTTTATTATGCTAAAGTCTGCCAAAAAGGCTGCCAAAAAGGCCACCTAAACCCAGCACTTTTTTCGCTTCTATTTTGTTGAATATACACAAGTATCTTTCTCTTTGTTCATTGATTGTGCCGAAACCAAAACCTAATTCTTTCGGGACCGCTTCTCCCAGGCCTTGTACGCCAAGTCACGGTGACTATCAGGGCTGCTATTTTGGCCATCCTCCTCTCCCTGGCTAGGTGCCTTGCCGCCCAGCACAAAGCCAGCGCTCCCAAGCGACCCGCCATCCACAAGCTCAGCATCCTCCGGCCTCGGCGGCTCGTACACCCTCGGCGCCTGTCCACCGACCCTCTGCCCACGCAGCTGCCAATTGAGCTCGACAACCTCCTTGCACAGCTCCCTATTGAGCCTATGGAACCGCTCATCGTGCTCGTCCCAAACCATATGCGCCAGCTCATGCATCAGGACATCCCTGACACTCTCGTACTGGCGAAAACCCTCCAAATCATCCGTGCGCAGCCTCAGCGCAATAACCTCGCCGCGGTTCCTATTGTACCCGAGAATGGTGCGCTCAAACGGGTGAAGCTCGCGCAATGTGCCGACGGAATACTGCCTGGTGACCATAATCTGCCGCACGCCCTCATCTTTACTCAGTTTGTGCAAGAGATCCAGCGCCCGCTGTTTCTCTGGCAACTCAAGAGCTTCGAATGCATGGAACGTATGCTGCATATTGTCTCTGCTCAGACTTCCCATTGTGGGCGTGCGCCAGATATCCGACAATGTCGCCTTGTATCGCTCGTGGTTCTGTTGTGCCGTTTGTCGCAGTGCCTCTCGCGCATGTAGATGCTCGAGCTCACCGGTCACTGTGCCCATTAAAACAACTCGGCTTTTGTGAGGAATTATGCTGGCTACTGGTGTCTCTTGGTCATTGTTGATAAGGCCTCCGCGGAAAAGCTTTTGGTTGCTTGGGTCTACCCCGAACACGTCTCGGATTTGACCTCGCAGCTGGCCCAGTGTGGTTGTGTTGTCAATATCGAATTCGCGCTTGGTGCCCTTGTGGCTTATAACAAATGAGTGAGACATTTGTTGAATTTTAAAAAAGAGAAAAAATATGTTTATTTAAGAAAGATGTAGAAACAAAAAAGGCTGAAATACGTCTGTTTTTCACATCCTTTTTCAATCATTTACGTCACCTGTGCGGATTCCGCATTATCAATTGCGCCATCAGATTACTAATTAACAATTATTAATTATAATTTTAACCTTTAATATTTTGAACATATGACTTTCATATCAATTAATTTTAAGCTGAATACCCGATAATTAAAACTCACTCACTCACTCACTCAACTAACTACTACTTCTTAGGAATTAGCTTTCTAAATGCAATATTATAATGGAAAAGTACCTTGAATCTAGTATTATATTGTTTTTTGCTTGAGCTCCTCATCTTGCATAATACTTGCACTGTACTTGACAAAAATACAAAAAAGCTGCCAGCCTGATAGACAACTAGAGCTTGGTTGATTTTGTAAAAAAAAACCTCCCCACCTTTTCCGAAAATTCAAGAAACAGGTCGCACAGGGCTTTAAAATCTTCCTCGTCGACCCCAGGGTTATCTTTTAGAAACTCTAGGCCACTTTTACCTTGATCAGATAGTGCAAGGACAACTGATACGGTGATGGCGGCAAACGCAAGGATAAATAAAAAACTTCATAGCTGTTAAGAAAAAAAGGATAATTAATGTTAGGTAGATAAAAAATATTGGTTTTCTAAACAAAAAAGGAGGTGCAAGTAATGATAAGTGTATATGTTGGTTTTTATATAGCTGTCGATACCATTTTCTTAAATAAAAAGGTGACGTACTTTTCACTGTGCCAAAAATGTTAATGTAGCTGTGTTGCTACAAAACCTTGCGTCATTTTGCAAAATATATTTGTAATGTTTTAGTTGTTTGTTAAAAAAATTGCTCACGCGCTTTGAACAATGTGTTGCGCAGACTGAAGATATGGAAGCAGATGTTGAGGTCGAGAACCGCGAAACAAGTTCCCACCTGCGCGCTGATCGATAGGACGCTAATTGGATAATGCAGGTGCAAATCAGGGAGGCATCACACTGATGCCCAAACATGCCCCCCATCCTGTAATGCACACGCATAAGCGTACACGCACGAAAACCACAACATCGACTTGCCAAGATACCGGTCTACTCGCAGAAGATCCAGTTCTCACCAACGGAGCGCACAATGGACAATGTGCACGACAAAGGCGACTGGGAACATATATAAGATGAGGCTGGCCCCTAGTAGTACTTTAGAAACATCAGTAATAAAACCTTTTATAAAATCACCCCTAACTTTTACCACTAGACAACTAGTGCTCCTCACACCCCCCTCTTACTATAACAAAATTTATTACTCGCTTACATACATAAAACAAAACAAAAACACAACAATGTCCGTCAGGTCAGACGTGACAATGCAGACTGCAATTCACCCCATACCTCCTGCCACTGCCCCTACTGCCCCTACTGCCCAGCTGACTACCACCTCCTCTGCCCAGACCCCAGCCAAGGCTGCCAAAGAGGAGCTGGACCTGCTCCGAGACTATGCCAAGCGGTTCAATGGCGAAGATATCGGAAATCCAACCAAGCAGTGGATTGCAGGGATCCAAGAGACAATCAACTTCATCTTTACCCGCACTCCTGCAGTAATGATTGTCACAGCACTCCAAAAGCTGCTTGACGGACAAGCTGCCAGACGCATGGGCACCCTAGACGTGAACACACCAGAAGAGTTCTTTGAGAAGCTCCTTGAATGCATCCCGCAAGCAGACTTTGTGGCCAAGGCACACAGCATCGCTGCTGGAGGCCCAGCCAAGGCCTTCAAGAACATCCCTGCAGTGGACAGGGTCAACTATGCGCGCAGGCTCTACAAGGCCATGGGTGGTGGCGACTATGCTGCAGTCACTATCTCACGCCTAGTACATGGCCTTGACACCCGCTCCTGGGCATGTACAGGAAGTGCGCCCAATGATGTCACTGCTGAGACCCTCCTGGACCGACTCAAGGCATTCGAGACAGTCCACAAGATAACCCTACTTTCATATGGCAACAATGACCCAAAAGCCTGAGCGGCTTGGGTATCAGTTACACTATTGGGACAATAAATATGTTTAACTCTACTCAGGCCGCCCTGTGCCATTTTACGAAAATACCCGGTTTCCGCGCACATAATAAGCCAGCAATGGCTGTAGCCGACAATGGCGCTGCTGTCAGCCTGGTCACCATGGCTGCTGCCAAGCGGTTGAAGCTGCGTATCCGCACCAACTCGAGGCCAGACCTGTTCCCCATCTGGTCAGACAAGGCATACCAGAGCATTGGGCGGGCCACCGTCTGCCTGCAGGTCGAGGGTGGCCCAAAGTTCTGGGACGATGCAGTCGTTGTCGACATGAAGGTGCCATGGGAGCTGCTGGTGTCAAACCATGCCCAAGAGGGCCTGGGCATCCGCCTCATGACCCCAGCAATGCGCCGACGCCTTAAGGGCACAGAACGCACCCCTGACCACCCAGACAAACTTCCCGATGGTCCCCGTGCTGTACGCGACTCGGATTATGACACTATGCCAGACCCCACAGTGGCACAAGACCCGCAGATGTTCCCACTAATGGACGGCCCGCCTGATGCGCCCCCGATCAAGGAACCAGTTGTCTCACGCCCAATGCGGGCACGACTAGGCCTACCAACTGGCTATTTTGTTGAAGCGCGCGATGCCGACTTCCACAAGTGGGATGCACTGTATCCAGCAGTGACGACGGAAAATGTTGCTAGCCGCACAACGGATCAGTGCACTACGGACGAGCTCCACAAATCCCTGCTAAAGACCCTTATGACTGCTGCTGGCGCCCTACGTGAGTACCCGAGTGGCTGCCCGCCGCCAGCAGCCTATGCGCCCATCCGACCCCCAATGCGCACAAACGCGTGCCCCCTGTACACCGTCCAACACACACTCAGCGAGCCTGCTCACAAGGCCCGAAACTCTTTCGTTGCCAACCGGCTCAAGTATGGAATAGACGGTCCATCGGTTGCATTCGCCCAGGTCCCTGTGTTCTCCAAAGTTAAGCCGAACTCGACGGACAGGCGTGTGCTGTTCGACGACTCAGCAAACAACTCGTTACATATGCTGAGCGTTGGAATGCAGCTGCCGACGCCAGTCGAGCGCATTATGTTCCTGCGTGATGCCAAGCTGATCTCGTCAGTTGACATGGCATCGTTCTTTACGCAGCTGCGCCTGGCAGAGGACGTCGCAGACTTCTGGACCTATGACGGGGGCAGCGCAGGCAAGGTACGCAACCTACGCATGGTGCAGGGAAACTCCGAATCCCCTGCCATTGCCCAGGCCTTCCTGACCCATGTTCTGTCCGGCGTGCCAGAGCTGCGGCCACGTCTGATGGTCTACATTGATAATGTTTACCTAAAGTCGACCACCGGCAATGAGACTGATCACATCCACGATATAGGGCTGTTTGCTCGGTGTCTGGCCCGTGCGAATGTCACGATTAACATGTCCAAATCACTGTGGTGCGCGACTACAGGCGTAGAGATCTTGGGGCGTCGGTGGTCCGCCGACCGGACATGGCAGGCCTTTGACCACCGAGTGGAAACAATGCGAGCACTGGAGATGCCGACGACGGTCGCAGGCATCCGGCGTCTGTGCGGCGGCATTAACGCAATTGCAGAGCATATGGAATGGATCCAGATCATCCTAGCTCCCTTCTACCAGATGGTGGGCAAGACGCGGCTGACGAAAGACGACATCAGATCACTACAGGAGCCCTGGCATGCGCTTAAGCAGGCACTGCTCGACGTTCGACACCTCTACATACCCCCGCCTGGAGCACCGCTGGTACTGCGCACTGATGCTGCGGGCGCCGGTGTGGGTGCCGTGCTACTGGCCCAGCGCTCTGACGACCCTGAGGACCTGGCGCCGGTATGCTACTTCTCACGGGCATTTGGAGGCATGCAAGGGAGGAAACACTCAACCTGGCGCGAGGCGTGCGCTGTGTACGAGGCTGTGAAGCACTTCTATGCGTACCTTGATGGG